GACTGGGGGATATGGATATGACAAAAAAGACGATTTCAACTATTTTGAAAGTTGGAAGGAAAGACAATACTGACTGGATTTGAAATCAGCCCTAGCTCTAGCCCAGAGCTATGAATTGGAGCAGGCAATTAACTTCTCTGGTCCTCAGTTCCTGCATCTGTAAAATAAAGGTAACAGGCTAGATGACCTTCAAGGTCTTTCTCAGCTATAAAAAGTCATATTCTGTAATGTTCAAGAGTAATATGGTGGCTGTATTTAACATGCTAAAGTTTTCCTTCCAGTAAAGCAAAAACAGTAAACATGCTGAAGGGAGGGGTAGGCATTTGATCTGGGCTTGATGGGCTGATGCCATGGGTTGGGGTGGAAGAAATCGTGGAGAGCTATGAGGCCCTTGTGGCGGACTATCTGGCCTTGAGACAGGTAAAGAGAATGCAAGATATGCCTGAAGTAGGGGGGAAGCATGAGGGGTGCCAATAAGCCGCCTAGGAACGAGGACAAGGAGAGAAGACTGTGGGGTGTGAAGGACAAGCTGATGAAGATAAAGCGTTCTAAGGGACCCAGCCAAACCCTAGGACTTGGTCTAGACTGGACAGCTGATGAGGCCCCTCCAGGGACTGCCAGGAGATCAGGTACAACCTCAAACCAAAAGAACTGGGTCTGTAATCAGGTAGGAGAGGCCCCAATACTTCAGAGACCTAACAGTCTGAAAGCACACAGACTTGGGAGAGACAGACTTGATTTCCATTTAGCCTCTGCTACTTACCTCTCATGTGATCTTGGGAAAGATGCTTATTCTCATTAGAACACACTTCCAGATAATAAAATGGGGATAATAGATCTACCTCATAATATTTTTATGAGGATTAAACATGATTATGTGCCTGACACATAGCAAGTATGGAAAAACTGCTGTAATACTGACTTGGGCCTGGGAATGAAATTAAGGCGGAAAAACTTCCGTTACCTCATGGTTTACAGAAAGAGCCTGAAACTCAACCAAAATTAAGCTTTTTGTAACCTGTTCACCTACATTCCTCGATCTGATCCTCAGGAATATTAACAAGGAGATAACACCTTGTATAGGTCAGCCAGCAAGCTGTAGAGTCGTGACAGTTATTAAAGTCTTCTGGCTTCAAAGTCATTGCTTTTTTCCCTAACACCTACTTGGGAAAGAAACAGAAGAACATGGGAGACAGATTGGTGCTTTAAAATTATAATCAAGGTACCTGAATAATGTGAGAATGAATCTGTACTTTGGTCTGATTGCTGGAAGTTGTCTACTGACAGTCCCTTGTCCTTGAAAAGTTGCTAGACCCTAAGCCTCTCCTCCCATCCCCAGTCTGCCACTAACTCTGCCAAAACAAGCAAAGTCAGAACTAGATTAGCACAGCTTTCTGTTGGTCACGCTTATTGAACGAAGAAGATTCTTTTGTTTATGTCTTTAAATAGAATCCTTACCACTGATCACTCTCTCCAGGAGCCTGTAATAAAACTTAAGATCATTACTGAGTCACTTAGCTCTTTTTTCCCTCATAGCCAAGTAACTATCTCTCCGATCTCTCCTCACAAAATTCCTTTCCAACCAGCAAAGCATGCCTGTGACTCTCCTCTCCTACTTTAGATACTGGTCCCAGGACCAGACATTCACTTCTAGTGAGGCGAGACGCGCTGCTTTGGAGCCCAGAGAATGGCTCGCCCTGCCAAGCACTGACGTCACAGCTCCTTTCTCACCCCAGAATGCACTCAGACTCTCTCTGGGACCCTTTCTTGCCCTGGGATTATTTAAAAAAATTTAAAAGAGCTGGCATTTTCTTTTCAAAATAATTTAGATAGAGTCCTGCTGGAAGCAAGGAATATGACTAAGTGATTTCTTAAAGTCCCTTCCAGCCAGTGATTCACCAGACATAGACTTTTAAGCTGGAATAGACTGTCACACTCTGGGCCAAATGTCTCATTTTTGCAAATAAGAGTGGATCCAGAGAGGTTAAGAGTTGTGGAGGCTGCTTACTGCAGTGGGAAGAACATGGGATTTGAAGTTAGAAGTTCTGAGTCTGAGGCCAAACTCAACCAGCCACATGTTGTGTGACCTTGAGCAAGTCATTAACCTCTACAGCTTCAGTTTCCATATTTGTAAAAATGGAAACAGTACTACATACTCTACCTGCTTCCTAGTGTAGTTTTGAGGATAATATAACATATTTATAAAAGACAAGGCAAAATGTAATAAACTACTTTATCGACATGTTGTACCACTAAGTAGCTTTTTCAGGGTCACCCTGTGGTGGACCCAGGATCCTTGATTCCAGTGTAATTCAATTTCCATCATACAATGCTGTCTTCTTGACATTTTTCCAGTTCTATAGTTATAAGATTTTCTCATAAGCCACTACACTAATTTGATCACCACATGCTTTCCTTTAAACCCCTGGATATATACATAGACTCAAACTGTGGGAAAACAGACGGGCTCAGATGGATTATAGACCAGCTTTTGAAAACTTGTGGATGTTCTCTCAAGCAGCCTTCCATTACATCATGGTTATGGCCCTCAGACCTTGGATTGATAGCTTCCGAGGGACTGGGTATATTCCCGAGCTAGCTTCCCTGTAGCTTCTCTAACCAGTTTCATAACACCAAACTGGACACTGGAGATGGATATTTGATAGCTTGTAATGGACTCTTAGGCTACATCATGTACCTTGAAGACTGAAATAGGATGAGAGTGAGCCACAAAGTAAAGTGATAATAGATAGTTGAAGTGCATGCTGGATAGAGATTTGGGAACATGTTCAGTGGTAATAGGTGGTTTACTGTGCCAATTTGTGGCAGTCCACAGAAGACAGGCAGGAGATGGCAGCCTAGTCTCACAAATGACGTGTGAGCCTAAGGTTTATGTGTTTCCATGGACCACTAATAGAAGGGGCTACTGGGCTCCGAGCCCCATCATCAGTATTAATGCATTGGAAAAGATCAACCATGATTCATTTGGCCTCATATTAATCACAGGGTATAGTGAGTCCTCAGAAGGCTGACCAAAATCATCTCTCCCACTCATCAAGAGACATCATACACTGCCATGCTGATTTATATGGCCCTCTGGTACAATGGGTACCTTTTTCATAACTGATGCTTCCCCAACAGAAATCCTACTTCTCCCTGTTTTCTTAAGCATAAAAAAAGTTCAAATTTTAGAAACAATGGTGAGGCCAAGCCTACCATAAATAGAGAATATAGCTGTTTTCTCTAAGCAGTAAAAAAGAAAAAAAATGTGTGTGGGGGAGGGGGGGTTGGAGAACACTGTGAGCCAGTTCAGCCAACAATTTCTATGTTAAAAAAAAAAGTTGAAGTTGGAGCCATGTGGTCTCAATAAAGTAGTAAAAGATATTTTCTTTACCCTACACTTCATGTGCCCATAACCTTCCTTTTAAATCATCTCTAACCAGCCCCAAATCACTGACCGCAAATCATTTGGTGGCTTTGGTCTCCAGGCAATGCAATGTGCTGGGGTAGACGGGGAGCCGCTCCCAAGAGCGCTCCGAGGGAGCTTCCGCTCCCCAGCCAGGCACACAGACCCCAGCAAAGCCCCGAAAGGGTTCCGCACCGAGATAGCACATGACATCATAACTCAGTCATTCAGGAAAAAACTGAAACGGCTGCAGAATCGCACAACATGCCACAAACCACAGCGGGCAGATAAAGCCGAAGAACAGCTTTTCTTACGAAAACATTCACGAATGCCACAGGCAGCTGGCAGAGACACGTTTAATTACATTTACAGAAACCCATCGTATCCATTAGCCCCGCCATCTTTGGAGGTGACCAGCAAGTGGGAAGGTCACTGAAGTCCATCTTCGAAATGGGAAAGCCAGGAGAACTTGAAGTTTATGTCGCTGCATTTCATAATGTGTGTTATGGCGAGATTTGACCCAGCTGTAAAATCACTTGGTAGGCTTTGAAAAAATTCCAAGTGAACTAGACCTCAATGAGTAACCTATCTTTAAATTTATAGCTGGAGATTAAATGCAGGCGAAGGTGTGGTAAATCAATTATTCAATTCATGATTAATTTAAGAGACACGGAGCTTGTCCTGAGCATAAACAAAGCTCATTCGATCGCCATCCGCGGTCACATCAGAGGACCCTGTCTTGTATTTTGCAAGTGCCATTTGAACTTTTACTTTTTATAAAGGAACTGTTCAAAGAGTTGTTATATACACTTTGAGGGGATGGTGAGGGGATGGTGAACGGATTGGGGGTGCCTTTAGGGTCCTCAGTGACACAAAGTTTAATGTGTGTTGGTAGAGTTGATGAAAGCTCAAGGGGAAAAAAATCCAGATAAAAATGCTATTTTAAAGAGTACTTAAGCATCAGTTTACACTAATTGCTAAAGTGGGAGTTTGAAAGGAGACTGCAGAATCGGCTATGAGACAAGAAGGATATGCCTGAAAAGCCCTATGGACTTTTCTAATTTTAGCCCCAGAAAGCAATCATTGTTGCTAATTCTAGTCTGTGATTTCACCTGTGTGAAATGAGATTTTTCTATACTAAAAAAATAAATAAATAAATAAAGCAAAAGCACACAACAAACAACACATGAAAACACTGGTGGTCAAAGTAGGTCTTGTCCCTAAAGGAACAATGAAAAATTACATAGTAGCTTGAGACAGTAATGTCTAGTAGCTATAAGCTTTTCAGAAAGATGTTATTTTCTAGCCTGGAAATGTATTTGGCAATAATCTTTTTCATCAGACACCCAAGGATAACTTTCCATTTCAGTTGGGAGTGAGGGGAAAGTTCAAATGTATGCTCATAATATCTTCATGTAACTTCTATAGCAATGGTTGGAGAAAATGCAAGAAGACTCTTGGGTTACTGGAAATAACCTGTTTGCCATTATGTGGGCAATTATAGCTTGGACTTGCTTTTTAAAATTGCTGGGGTCAGCAGAGTTTTCCCATGGATTTATCAGCAACAGAAATAAACATGCATTCCACTGAGCTCCAGTTGTAAGTGTGAGAAGGGCCATTTATTGAAAGTCTTTTTCAACATGTGGACAGGAATTCAATTTAAACTACCAGGATCTTAAAGGAGATTCTGGTATCCTGATGATTTTCTTCATCAGAAGTTGAAAACATTTCAGCCCCATCTCAAGTGGTCCTCTCCCTTGGCCCTTGCCACACACATCATCTCTCTCCATCAAGAGCCTATCTGCTGTCAAGAGAGGTGACTTCTCATCCTTGTAGAGCTCGTGTCAAGGTCTTTACGCTTGTAGTGCAGGAAGACTGAGGGAAATCTCTTTAAAGGTCATGTTGGTTACCTCTGGATCAGCTAATTTCAAGAATTCACCAAAACGGAATCTTTATAAAACAGTGACAGCATGCTTTCCATACAAACTAACGGAGAATGTAAATTTTTCTGTTTAGTCTTTCCAGGGTAGATGAGTCATCAAGAATGCATTCTTCCCTATTGTATTCTGCCTGCCACTTGTTCCCGGGGAACCACAGCCAACTGAATGCTAACGAAGACAGGGATCTCATGCGAAGGGCTTAGAGGAGAACAAGAGAACAAGAATGGAGCACGGGAACTTGTTAGACAAAGAACTGCAATCAAGTGAAAGCCAACAAAACATCTTTCAGGCCACTGAAGAGCAACAGGTGTGAAAATGCTCCAATTTGTCACGGGAAAAAATCACCAAAACCTGCCGTTAAAGGGTTTCCAGCTAAAGTTCATTCAGCCACTGAGCAGCAATTCGGCTGTCAGCCTGCCTGCTTTGCTAGTTTCCTTCTACTTTGCAGATTACATTGAAATTAGAAAAGAGTAGAAGCGAACCTGGTGCAAACCGCTCCAGGCATATCAACTCCCGAAAGAGAAGCTTCTCTCAAAGTATCATTAAAAAAAATTTTAAAAAAAGAAGGAAAACGGCGGAGAAATTCAACCTCATGCCTCTCTCCCCTCCCCCACGCCAACTCTAACAGAGAAGTCGCGCGGAGCAGGACCCACCACCCCCGCCCCCTAGGAGCGGTTTGAGGAAGCATTAGGAAAACCGTAGCGGCGACGGTCTTCGGAACCCCTACCAGCGAACACCCAGAACACATGAATACCTGCATGCCGCTGCCCCGAAACGTTATTTCCTGCACCGCTACATACAGTTAACGCTCTCACTTACCGGCTGAGCAGGAAACGCCCGCTGCCCCTAAAGAAACTCTTCCCCGGGGTCTTTCAGTTCTCAGCTACTCCCAGCTTGCAACTTCAGGGCTCTGAATTCAGTCTCGTTTGCAGAATACAGCGCAGAAAATGAACAAGCAGCCCAAAGCCCGGCCCCTCGCAGGCTGCGATGAAGACGTCGTGGCGTTCTCGGGCTCCCGGGAAGCCTCCTGGCGGCCAGGCAGCCGCGAGCAGGGTCGGTGGGGCGGCCGACTGCGAACGCGCCGAGAGCGCCGCGACTTGCCGAGGGGCCCGTGTGCGCGGGGGTGGGGTGGGGGACTGCTGGGGAGGGAGAGAGGGTGTGTCCAGGGGAGGAATGCTGCTAACTTCCAGAAATAACACTCAGAGGGGACGGAGGGCGATCCATCTCCCCTCGCTCCAAACCAAACCCTTATCACACTTAGAAAGGCGTTTGCTGTGGGGGATTGCAGTCACCCGTGGAGAAGGCAATAAGCAAGTTCTACCCACGCTTTCTCAAGCCCGCTCAGCTGTGGCTTGAAGCATTTCGTAAAGACTTCTGACCATTTAGTCGACCAAGACACCTGGGGGGAATTCCAGGTGGTGACTGATAGTGGATTTGCATTAGTTACGAAAGAAGTCAGTTTTCATCTTGATCTTCCCAGCATATCCTTTCACACAAGCAGTATCTTTCAATTACTCTCCATCTACATTATTTCTCGTGAATTAAATTGCTTCTCTGATGCTGCCTTACTGCAAAGCTATAAATTAATTACTACATTACACATGAAGACCCTAGAAAAGGAATGCCAAGAAAAAATGGTTTTTTGTTGTTGTTAATTTTTATGTTGAACAAGTCTGCCATTAATCAAGTCTTTCCACCAATATCTAGGAACAGAGCCAAGATTGAGACTCATCGAGAGATGAACATGTGCATATGTCTGGTTGTCCCACAGTCTTTCTTTGCAGCATTATGTCACAGTGACTCAGTTACCACACAGATATTATGGAGAAACAATATGAGAGACAAAACCCAACCATTTAATAAAGACTTGCTCACCAACTATAACCAATTGACAGACAGGGCTTAAGTTTCAAAAATTTTAAAAGATTATTTCAATACTTCCATTGTTTTCTGTTTTCAAGTCACAGAACTGCTTCTCATTGGTCAGTCTGGGAAACAGAAACCCAGGATTGTATTGGAAAATTTAAGGAAGAGACTCATAAGGAACCCATGAAGCCATTCATTTCAGTGTAGCACATAAAATGTCAAAAACATGACAAATTCTTAAAGTCAATTGGAAAACATATCAACATATCAGAAAGTGTGTTCCAGAAACAGAATTATGATGAGCGAAAAATTCAAATAGAAATAGTGTAACAAATACTTTTTGATACGAAAATAAAACATCAAGAGAGTTTACTATATAACTTTAGTTCATTTTTATTATTCTGAGAAAGTGATGGGTCATGAAATATTGAAGTTTTTCGACATTATTGTATTTTCCTTTTATACGGGAATCACCAAAAAGTAAGGATGGCTTTGCTTTTTAAACTGAAAATATTACAGGTTTGGCACGTTCATTCTCTTCTTGTATGTCAAGTCCTTTTATTTTGTAACTCCACACTTTATTTGTAGAGTTTTACTAGTGCCACTGAATAAGAGTCAAGTACTTGTGTTCATTTGAAAGAAAGGCATTTCACTGTAAAGCAGGGTGGCCTTGTTGGGTAGGTCTCTCTAAGATACATTTCAGATCCTAACCATCTTTCTCACCTCCAGGAAGGGGTGGTAGAACAATCTTTTCTCTGTGAATTAGGGGAAACATTTTATTGATTAAAATGCCCAGGCAAAAGCAGAAGGAAAAATCGAGGCTAGGGGTTCAGTATGTGGTCACCATGAGCACAGGAACTTGAGTAGCCCTTTCAACTGCCTTTGCTAAAACTGTGGACATTTTTGAAGTCTGAAATTTAGTTGAGATATCCAATACATTAAATGTCTTAGTCAAAGATGACACTCCCTTCAGTGGTCCTGTTAACTCGTGCAGATGAAAATGAAGGAATAGATGAAGTTTCTGCAGTCCTTCCATATTGTCTACATGAGGAGGCTACCTTTTGGGCGGCAGCTATTAATGGGGCCAAATGTTCCTACAAACACTGCCTTTTGTTTCTGTGCCTGTCCATTTGCTTGTGCTCAAATGAGAACTATCCTAATGCTGAATGTTCTGTAGAGTTTCTTGGGTCATAGTGACAGTCTTCTCAATGTGCATAATCTATGCAGCACTTGTCTCAGGGAGCAGGGACGGCTGATTGTTGAAAATACAGATACCCTGGGCCTTACTCAGAACTACTGAATTAGGATCTTTCTATCTGAGAACCATGACATCAACTTGTGTGCATGTGTATGTAATTGAATGTTTCGAATAAGCGATGCATTCACATAATTTAAATAAAGGTATATACACTGCAGTCTCTATCTTATCACTGTTTCCCATAGGTCTAGTCCACATATTTCCTTGCACGTAGCCACTGATATTAGTGTTTTCTGTGGACTTCCAGGTTTCTTTATGCACATACCTACAAATATAATAAATTCTTGCTCTTTCTTCTTTATTTCTTAAAAATACTATGTGTAGAACTATATCTATTCCCTTAAATGTTTATTTAATCAGGGCCCCACTGATAGATTTGAGTTCTCTCCAATATTTTCCTACTAAACAATGTTAACAAACTTCCACATAATATTTTACACTTGTGCAAGAATATCTGTGGTGTTAATTCCACAGTGAGATTCCTGGATTTTGGATTTCTAATTTTGATAGACATAGCCAAATTGCCATTCAAAGGGCTAGACCAATCAACACTCCCACTAACCATGTTGACTAGTGCTGGCTTCCCCATGGCCTTGCCAACAGAGCATGTAATCAAACCTCTGGGAGTTTGCCAATCTGATAGGTGAAAAGTGATGTCTCAAGATAGTTTGATTTGTATATATGATTTTGAGTGAAGTTGAGCAACTTTTTCATATGTTTAAAAGTCAATTCTGTTCTTTTTATCATGCCCTCTCTGTTTATATATTTTCTCCATATTCTATTGGGTTCTTGGTCTTTGTCTTTATAGACTTCTTGAAATTCCATGTATACTAAGAAAATTATCCCTTCATGTTATGAGTTACAGATTGTTTTCTTATTTTATTATTTGTCTTTTGACTTGGCATATGATATTTTGTGGACATGCAAAAGTTTCTAATTTTTATGTAGCCAGAGAAAGTATGTAGAAAAGCCTTTCCTAAAGCATATGCTCTTGTGATTTAATATTTTTCCATTTAAATATTTGGTCCATTTCTATTTTTTCCTTATTTTGTTTATAAGGTATTAAGGTATGGTTCCCACTTTATTTTGTCTCAATTAATGATCTAGTTGCTCCACTACCACTTTATAAAAATTATTTAAAAATTTAAAAGTTGTTTTTAAAAATATATAACAAAATTTATTATCAGGTTTCATTTATGTTGTGGCACCCGACAGGACTTTCTCCCTTTTAAAGGCTAAATAATTCTCCATGATATGTGTATACCTCAATTTCTTTATTCCTTCATCTGTGGATAGACATCTGGATTGCTTATACCTCTCGGCTATTGTGAATAATGCTGCTATGAAGCATGGGTGAGCAAATATCTATTTGAGATCCTACTTTTAAGTCTTTTGGACATATACCCGGAAGTGGGATTGATGCATTATATAATGTCTACTTTTAATTTTTTGAGAAACCTCTATACTGTTTTCCATACAGTAGCCGCACCATTTTACATTCTCAACAATATTGTACATGGATTCCAATTTCTCCACATCCTTCCCAATACTTGTTATTTTCTGTTTTTCGTTTCTCTGTGTGTGTGTGTGTGTGTGTGTGTGTGTCAGCCACACCATTTTACATTCTCAACATATTGTACATGGGTTCCAATTTCTCCACATCCTTGCCAATACTTGTTATTTTCTGTTTTTCGTTTTTGTGTGTGTGTGTGTGTGTGTGTGTGTATGCACGCGTGTGTGTGTTTTATAGTGGCTATCCTAATGGGTATAAGGTGATATCCCATTGTGGTTTTGATTTGAGTTTCTCTAATGATTAATGATGTTGAACATCTTTTCCTATGCTTGTTGTCCACTTTAATATCATTTTTGGAGAAATGTTTATCCAAATCCTTTGTCCAATTTTTAATCGGATTATTTTTTCTTGCTGTTGAGTTGTAAGAATTATTTTATAGATTATGGTGTTAATCCTTTATCAGATATATAATCTGCAAATGTTTTCTCCTACTCCTTAGATTAGCTTTTCACTCTGTGAACTGTGTCCTTTGCTGAACAGAAGTTTTTCAAGTTTGCTATAGTCTCACTTGTCTAATTTTGCTTCTGTTGCCTGTGGTTTGCCTTATTACCTCCTTATAATAGTAATCTTTTACCTACCGTTTGGAGATGCCATTGTTAACATGTATTAAATTCCTGTCTAGAGTTGGGTCTATTTCTGGACACTTTATTCTGTTTCCTTGGTTGATCTCTTAGTTCAACTGCCACTACCACACTTTTAATTATTGAGGCTTTTAATTTTAATATCTCGTGGTCCTAATTCTCTCATTTGTCTTCTCTCTGAGTTTCCTGGGGTTTTTTTTTTTCCTTACGAACTTCAGAGTAAACAAACAATAATAACATTAGTGACCCTATTACTATTTTTAAAGCTAGAATTAAATTTAGGCAATTAACATAGAATCAACATCTTTACATTGAAAAAATTTCCTAGCCAAGAAAAAAATATATCTTTTCATTTGTTCAGATCTTATTTTGTGGGCTTTAGGAATGTTTTACAGTTTTCTTCATATGTATCTTGCCCATTTATTGTTACATTGGTTCCTAGCTATTTTATCTTTTTATTACTGTTGTAAACGGGGTCTTTTCTCTCATTACACCTTCTTACTAGATATAATCAACTAATTACAGGGTATTTATTTTGTACTATTTTATTTTACTAAGTAATCTTATTGCTTATAGATATTTCTCAATTCTCTTATATTTCTAACCAAATAATAATATCATCTGAAAAAAAAAAGATTAACTTTCTGCTTTCTAATTTTTACTTTTAATTTCTTTTCTAATTTCATTGTTTATTAGGTCTAGTAAATGTTAAATAACAGTAATGATAGTCGGCATTCTTTTCTTATTTTTGATTTTAGTAGAAATGCCTCCAGTGTTTCTGTACTAGGCATGGCATGGACTTTGGCCTGGGAATGATGTATTTTATAATGCTAAGGAAATATTAATTTATCATTGTTTCATTGAGGGCTTTTTTCTTGGGTCAAGTTTGACTATTGGCTTTTGTCCAAATGCTTTTTTTGGTATCTTTAGCAATAATCATATAATTTTTCTCTTAAGAGCTATTAATTTGATAGAACATAATAAATTATTTGGCAATAAACTACCCTTGCATTCCTGAAATAAATTCCACTTAATCGTGGAAATTTTAAAAATATGCTTTAGATGCTATTTGCTAAAATTTTATTTAAATTTTTATACTCATTCATAGTTGAGATTTTGATAACAATTTCTCGTTTTATTGCATTATGAGCACAGAATGTTATCTGCAATATTTCTATCTTTTGGAATTGATTGACTTTTTGAGGCCTAATTTATGGTCAATTTTC